TGTTGAGTCCTGTAGACTGCTGAGTTCTCAAAGAAACTGACATTGCTGCTGAAGTTTTGCTACAGCATTGGAGGAGGAAATATCTTGTTTTGATCAGCCAGGTCCCTAACACATGCAGAAATCGATCACCACGCTTGAGTATCCAAAACCAGACTGAGTGTTCCGCATTTGTATGCTACTACACATTGACATTTCCGTGAGCCTGGAATGGCAATGTGTAGTCTCTCCCGGGATGGTTCACCCAGTTTACCTAATTCCAGGGAGAATTTGGTGCAGATTGGCTAGAACCAAGGCTTGAGGATCTCAGTGTGGTACTGCATTGGGGTACTGCTGCAGTTCAACCAGCTAAAACCACTTAGCTATTGGGAGCACTGTCTGATAAGCTTCCCGCTGCTTAATATAGAAGAGACAACATTTCAAAAATACAGTACACAGGAGTGGAAGAAGTACATGCAAACAGCAGTCTCGCTTGGAAATGATAGTTAGGGCTACAGACAGAAAGATGATGCTATAACAAATGAGTGTCCTGGTAATTTGAACCTCGTCTTCCCAGCAAACCTCCATGTAAGGCATCAGCTCCTGGAATTGGTTACTATTTAAGGGTCTTTGAAGATGCAATAAGAAGCATCAGGTTCTGGTCATTGGGGCAGTCAGCAATGAATGCATGGAAACACTATAAAGGGCAGAGTGCAGAGGAGGAGTGGAGGAGGAGGAAAAAATAGATGAGAATTGTACATTGCAACATATCACTGAACCAATGCACAAAGAAACCAGTATTCATCAGACTATTAATTCAAATAAATGTACTACTGTCCTTTGGCGGACGCAAGTCTTCATTGCAGTGAGAACAGATCTAATCAATAGACTAGTTTCCTTTTTGTTAATCGTTTACAAAGATTTATTAATAATAATCACATTGCAGTGTTCAATGACAGAGTGGAAGGGATCTAGCAAACGCAAGGATTTTCAAATGAAAGTGCTGCAGTGGTGCTGTAAGTGACACTTGCACATTGTGTTGCTTATGGTAAACGGGACATCCAGAATAAACAAGGTTGCTAGCTTTAGTAGCTCACACAAACATGATTGAGTCATGTATGTGAGTGCACAGGATATAAGGCTCTTGTGAAGTGGAAAAGCACATCACTGCAACACTTCAGGCTGTTCACCTGTTCACACAATGTTTTTTTTACTATTTTAGTCACACACGTTCGTCAATGGCACAAGTGGAATGAATGTGTTCTACTTTTCTCTGCCAGTTGTATGGAGATGCTTTAGACCAGTACTCTTCCTGTAATCACCAGATACTCATCTAATCCTCAGCTTGGGCTTTGGATCATTGGTGGTGGTATTTGAGGTTCCTGAGGCTGTGAGATACTGCAGAGTACTTGAGGCAAAATCTCTGCCTGCAAGAGACTAGATCATCCTTCTCAGTGAGTCTCTTCACCTCGAAAGGCAGCATTGCTAAATGGTGCCAGCTACCGGCTGCCATTGTTTTGTGGTTGCAAACCCTGGCAAGTTGCATGTGGTTTTCTTCTTATTGGCCCGATTGGACCTGCATGCTGCACACGTCCCACTTTGGAAAGAATTGTGCACTTGGAAAGAATGCGCACAAACAGTTTATGTACCAAAGGAGCAAGCCTACAGCCCTGGCAGTCTCGGTGCACTGCACAGCTGTTTCCATTTGAATCAAATGTGCATTACGTTATAAACATGGCAAGAGACTGCGAGTGTGCACAGCTCTCAGCATCGAGCAACGTGTTCATTTGCCATAGCACTCTGCACCAGCAGACAGAACCACTCCTTTGGCGTATGCAATAAAGTCCTGTAGCTCAGTGGTTAGAGCACTCGCTTTGCAAGCGAGAGACCTGAGTTCATTTCCCGGCAGAGGGCGAAACCTTGGGCAAGTTTCCTTACTCCACACAGAGCCTAATAATAATCCCTCCAAAACCAAAAACAATAATAAAATTGGTCATTATCAATCTACGACTGTTTGTAGGACATTGCTGTGCGCAATTGGCTGCCGCGTTCGCCCACAAATATACAGTCAATTCACTTTACAGTGTGTTCTGTGAAGTGCTTTGGTACGTCCTCCCGACATGAAAAGCGCTATATCAAATGCAAGGATTATTATTATTATGTGCACTCTCCACCTCACCAAGCCAGTACAGAACCTTGGTGTCTTATTCGACCCACGACTATCTTTTAAGCCCTACATCCATCCATACCATGACCCATGTTGCTTTCCCCCACCTCCACAACATTGCCAATCTCCACTACTAATTCTCCCCTCAGACTGCAGAGACCCTCATCCATGCTTTCATTACATCCAGACTTGACTACGCTAATACCCTGCTCACCGGACTTCCCAATTTTTTTCCTCCACAGAACTGCACTGAGCCTTGTGAGCCAATCGCCCCCATCCTTGCCTGGCTTCACTGGCTTCTCATCCTCACTTTTAAACCCCTACAATGACTTAATCCTCCCTACTTCTGTGACCTACTAAAATATTACCAACTTGTCTGCTCCCATTGCTTGGCTCCATGTCCTCTGCCCTACCTGCTCCACCCTCGGGAGTTGAGCCTTCACCCCCAACCTCCCATCTCAAGACCGTCCTCTTTGACTATGCCTTCGGTCATCCTCCTACCTCCACCACTCTTGCCCTCCGTCCCTCTTGACTCCACCCACAATTCGGCTGTACACCCTTCACCTTCAAGTGCCTAGGGATGTCCTCCTGATGGGAAAGGTGCTATATAAATGCAATTTGTCGTTATGCCCCAGTCTGCTGTATCACATCTTAGTCTTGAGGCAGTCCATCACTTTTCTTTACACACAGCAGCCCTGCTCTGTCATTTCCCATATATATAAAACTGCGTTTATGTCTTAAGTAATTACTAAAACCATTTACCAGCTTCAGTCTTAACTGCTAACTGCTTTCTGATGACTGATACCTGACCCTTTCATTATTTTACATTTCACATGCAAGTCTTGGCAAGTGAGGTTGTGACAGTCATCTTGTGTTTACCTTTGAACCTAAGATCATAATGAGACAGTTTAAATCTTTTCAATTCTTATTTCTGAAATATCACTGTTAAGCTAACAGTACTGTTGCAGAAAGGCTGGTCTACAAAGGTGGTATGAAAGTGGGGGAATGGACCAGAAGTGCTGATGTGAGTGGATTTGCTGATAACTGCTAACAAGAGCTCTGAGTAAGTTGAATGGTTTATTAGCTGTGTATGCCATCTTCTAGCATTAGAACCCCTCAGTCATTTGTAAACTCACATTACTGAGGCCACAATTGTGTGAAGGTTCTCTCCAAAATAGTGCAATGGAGTTAGTTGTGCCTCTTTGAGCAGTTGAGGTGGCTCAGTTCTGCTTACAATACATTTTAAAGGAACGTTTGTTATTTTACTTAACAACCATACTTGTAGTGCTTGTGTCTGATGGAGGGGGGGGGGGGGCCTGCAGGCAGTGAGGCGTTTTGGTGCAGTAAGTTTAAATGAGTGATTTATTATTCATAATCCTTGCATTTGATATAGTGCCTTATCATGTCGTTGAGATGTCTCAAAGCGCTTCACAGGATGTACTGTAAAGTAGATTGACTGTGTTTGTGGTCGAAACGCGGCAGCCAGTTGGAGTGGGCGATCCGTTTTATTTGGGGGTTTGTTGGCCAGGACACACTGGAAAAAACTCCCTTCTCTTTTCAAATAGTGCCATTTAACATTCACCTGAACAGACAGATGGGACCTCAGTTTAACATCTTATCCGAAGAATGGGATGATGGGATTTACTGCAGTGGGGGGGTGGCAGAGGTTAGCTGAGTTGTCGTCAATAGAATTCTGTGCGGCCTTCGCTGCGAGTGGTCAGGGTGCCGCTCTCCTGACTTGCACAAGAGAACAAGAACACTCCCAGATCCTGTGGCTGGGTTCAGGGTAATGAATTATTGAGTACAAGCCTGTTAACTGGGCGCTGCTAGTTTTTGCTGTTTGCAAGACCATTCTTTTTGAGCAGGATATAATATACATTAATTTAAATGCATTCATAAAATAACCGTATAGTTAAATTCCTCGATATGAGGAACCCTGCTTTTTACGACTTTGCATGCAGAGTGCCGTCCTTGCCTAGTTTCAAAAATATTGAGGAAATCAGACAGACTGATTAGCAGTGCTTTGAATTACAGCGAGGGCTATCTGGCTTTGCCAAGTATGTCTCCTCAGAAATCTGTTCAATCCCACGAGACTCCACAAAGGTATATTTATTACACAATGGGCCGAATGGCCGCCTTCTGTGCCATAAATTTCTAGTGAATTTTCAAAGGTGACATCATTCAAGGTGTTTTATCCAAATGTACTAATCTCATTTGCCAAACTTCGCTGTGGAACCTGAATTTCAGGCTTGTTCAGTCTGTTGCCATATGGTGTAATATATTGTGGGAAGAATGCTCTCGACAAAATGTGCTATGAAGTAACAATTAGAATATGTGCCGTATCGTTTGTTAAAGCTGCTGAATGGAATTAAGTGCATCTAATAACATCTGTTACTTGTTCTGCAAATATGTCAATGCTATTTTGTGATGCATAGAAAAGTATGCATTACTAAATGACACAGTCTGTTGCGGGGGACAAAAAGTCAGGGCTCTAGGTCGCATTAATTTGTAGTTTCGGAAAATAATGGCACAATAAAGCTCTTTCACTGTTTGACTAGATTAAATATGAAAATGGAGATAAATAGGAAAGCTACAAATGTGAAATAAAATGAATCCGGAAATGCGCCGGAGCTCAAACAGCATTTGGGGGGGCCGGGACAATTTGGGCACGATCCTTCCATCAGAACCTATAAAATGCATAGAATATAATCGCATCCCTAAATGGTAAATGTCACTTTTTTTTCTGTCTCTTTGATGCTAAATGACCTGCATATTTCCAATGGTTTTATCTTAAACCATGAAAATGCTTTTGACACAATCTGTCCCAACAATAACATTTCTGTGTCTTGTTTTCCAGATTACAGAGGCTGGGAAAGAAACTCTACCCTCATGGCTGCACTGGGATCCTGTGAGTCACTCTCTGCAAGGCCTGCCCCTGGACACAGACAAAGGAGTTCATTATATCATGCTATCTTCCCTGGAAGTGGCTGCCAATGGGAGTCTTGTGCCTGTTGCTTCAGGCGTCTTCTCCATTGAAGTTCTCCCGGATGACTCTTTGGACAGTAATTCTTTCCGTTTGGCATTGCAGGATGTCAATGAAGTCACACCTTTGGTCTGTGTACCTGAAGAGCCGCTTACCATCTTGACTGTGATCTTGGACGCTGACCTGACCAAAATGACAGCCAAGCAGCGTTTGGAACTACTGGACAGAATGCGCAAATTCTCTGAGGTGGGACTGCAACAGATGAGGCTTGTTCCAGTGGTCAATAACAGGCTGTTTGACATGTCTGCCTTCATGGCGGGGCCTGGGAATGCCAAGAGAGTGGTGGAGAACGGGGCTTTGGTGTCTTGGAAAATTGGATGTTCGTTAGACCAGAACAGCGTTCCCAACATCAGCAGTGTAGAGGTCCCTGCCAAAGAGGGGGCCATGTCAGCTCAGCTTGGGTACCCAGTCGTGGGCTGGCATATTGCCAACAAGAAACCTCACGTGACTAAACGAGTGCGACGACAGATAAATCCCACTCCAACACCTGTTTTTGCAGTCCAACCACCAACAACTGCTGTGATTGAACCTCCCAGTCGTATAGTGCCAGCACCCACCTCTCCAGCAATTGCTCCCACCACAGAGAGAGTGGTACCACCAATCAGAGAGCCATTGCCAATTAAACCCATTAAGACGACTGTCACCGTCAGAACAAAGGATGCAGTTCTTCACACTCCCACACTGGGCCCTGTACAGCCGACGAGGGTAGTGGAAAGGACAAGCACAACTATCCCTGGTCAGATCCAACCTACTGTGACCAGACCTGGTTACATCGAGCCCACAGCAATGGCACCTCCCAGTACAACCAAGAAACCTAAGGTAACTACTTTGAAACCACATGTTACCACTCCACCAACAATTACTGTAAGCACGAAGGCGCCCAGAAAGACCAAAACACCTCGTCCCAAAAAGCCAACACCTTTGCCACCTACGAAACGTACCACCATTGGCGTTTACACCACAAGGCCATCTGTCTACAACAATCCACCAGAGCTTCAAAACCATATTGACCGCGTCGACTCGTGGGTAGGCACCTATTTTGAGGTTAAAATTCCGTCCGATACGTTTTACGATAAAGAGGACAAGACCACTGACAAGTTAAGGTTGTCCCTGAAACTGAAGGAACAGCAGCTGCTGGAAGAGAACTCGTGGGTGAAGTTCAACAGCACAAGTCAGTTGATGTATGGCTTGCCGGACGTCAACCATGTGGGTATGCACGAATATTTCTTGCACGCGGCAGACAAAGGTGGTCTTACGGCAGTGGACGCCTTCGAAATTCACGTACACAAGCGGCCACACGGCAATAAGTCCCCTGTGAAATTTGCAGTGAGATTCGAGGGAGATCATCAGTCGGTAGTGAACAACGTCAACAAGAAAATACAACTGGTGAAGAAACTGGCCTATGCATTTGGAGATCGCAACACCAGTACTGTGACCTTACAGGACATTTACAAGGGTTCTATCGTGGTGGAATGGACCAATAATAGCGTCCCACTTGATCCCTGCCCAAAGGAACTGATTCGAGCTTTAAGTAAACGCATAGCGGATGAACACGGTAAACCTAACGAGGTCTTCGCACTCGCAATGGAACCAGATTTTTCCCCAATCAACGTTTCCGTTATTGGGACTGGAAGCTGTAGAAACATGCGGTTCGTGCCTGTGGTTCGAATAGGAAAACCATCTCCCACCTCCACACCGCCTCCTACTGCAGACGAAGAGCCGTCCAGGAGTAGTAACGATGACGTATACCTGCACACCGTCATCCCAGCGGTGGTAGTGGCTGCCATTCTCCTTATTGCCGGCATCATCGCCATGATTTGCTACCGCAAGAAACGGAAAGGGAAACTCACCATCGAGGACCAAGCCACCTTCATCAAGAAGGGCGTACCCATCATTTTTGCAGACGAACTTGATGACTCCAAGCCTCCGCCTTCATCGAGTGTCCCACTGATCCTCCAGGAGGAAAAGCCACCTCTCCCCCCTCCGGAGTATCCCAGCCAATCTGGCCACGAGTCTATACCTCTGGGACAGGACTTGATCGGAGAATACACCCCCTTGAGAGAAGAGGACCCCAACGCACCGCCCTATCAGCCCCCTCCGCCTTTTACAGCACCAATGGAAGGTAAAGGCTCCCGCCCAAAGAACATGACCCCATACAGATCCCCACCACCCTACGTCCCACCCTAATCCCTGTAGGAGAAAGGACCCACTTTCCACACCAGTGTTGTCTGTAGGGAATGGAAGCCTGCCATTTTTTTTGAAAACTGGGTCTGTTGGTGAAGAAGCCAGCAAAAGAGCACTGGAATTTCACCAACGCTGTTCAGCTTCTTCCCGCTCAGTGGGACACTTTCCACCAGTCAGCATTGTTTCCTCAATCTCTTCTGTACATTATTACAGGCTTCGGAACATTTGTTTTAAAATGCGAAAAAGACTACGGACAGCACTGGGGGATGTTTGATACGGTTTGCCTTTAACACTAACTGTACTGTTTTCTATTCACACGTGTCTAGCAACGGAAGTATAACAAACAGTAGCCTAATGTCAATGTCCGAAACTGTACTGAACTCAAATTTGTTTTACATTTAATCCACTGTACCTAAACTTGTATTTCTAGTTTGGTCATGTTAATTGTTTGAAGTAGTACGATGCGCTCTCTTTTTCTCTCTCTTTATCTCTCTCTCTCTCCCTGCACAGGCTTTCTTTTTCATTGCGTTTAAGCTTTGGCATCCTCTCCTACCTTTGGTTTATTATATCTCTTTCTCTAACCGCTTTAGTTCATTCTTGTATGGTATGTGCTTTGCCATTGTTTCATTTCGCACCTCGCCATCTCCTCTTGCTCCTTATCTTTTTGCATTCTCTCTCTGCTTGTGTTCTTTATTCATCCGTACCTATTGCCTCAGTGCTTTCGATCCCTTTGTACTCCAGCCGTCTTATCCGTTTCTATCACCCACTCTCCTGACTGACTATGTGGTGCTCAAAATCCTCTCAAATTGTGCTTGCGTTCTTTCTACTTACACTTTGCTGTGTTTCTCTGCACGCTCCTACTTTACCTCACCCTCTTTGCTTTGTGCTCTCTTCAGACTCCTTGTGCTTCTTATTGCATGGTGCTCTATTGCCTCATGTTATTTTTTTCTCTCTCTCTCTAGCCTCTTGCGGCTGTACTCATTGCCTGTGCTTGCTCTTTCTAATCTGTGCATTTAGTATGAAGTAGCTCATTTGTTGGGTCCAGCTACTCTCATCTCAAATCCTTGGCTGCAGACGTTATGGGGATATTCCGATAGATTATATCCTAGTCAGCCAGAAATAATTCAAATAAAAATTCAATCTAATTTTTTTACTAAATTTTTGATACAGCCTCAATCCTTTTATTAAAGCATACTGCAATTTGTAAAAGCTTGGCTTCTTAGAAATTGTTAATGAAATCAACTTTTGATTTTTTTTCCTCATAAGTCACCTTATAAATTTTAATTTAGTTGTTTTTTAAAAAGTTTTACTGCCTTTTTAAAGATTATTACAGGATATCAAATAGGTTCTGATGAGATGGGGATGCTACAAATGCCCCTGGCGCTATTACTGGACTGAACCACAACTAGCATGGTATTGGACCTTGACTTGGAAAACCATTGCAATAATTGTATGCTGTGCAGACTTGGGTGGTCAGGCTCCGTCCAGGCTGGCCTTTTTACATGTCGCAGGATCTCGAAGCCATATAGAAGATAGTGCACATACCCTCGCTGTGTGTGCTCGGATCTGCAGTGGCCAGGAGAGACAGAATCATCCCAACACCATGGTGACTGGTGGGCAAATCACACCGAATAATGCATTCATTATTAGCCATTTCTTTTTGCAATTATTAGTAAACATTTTATTTATGCCACTAGACACTGTATGTTGAAGTCTTGTATTAAAATGTGTTTTCACCAAAGGCTTGTATTTCTTGTTTTTCTTGTGGTGGAAAAAAAAATGTCAAAGAGATGAATACCATAGTGGATTAACACACTGACCTTTGTCTCTGGGATTACAGTTTTAACCCAGGATGAAAGTCTTCTCTCTACAGGCTCGGAATCCACAGTAATATTTCTTATGTGGCTTTCTTAACTCATTTCCTAGAGGCAGCAAATCCATAGGGCAAAACTTCAAAATTAATGATTAATTGCTAAGTAGCCTGTCTTGCACAGAGCAGCTATTGTTGGCGGAACTGTTGTACCTTTGCACAAGGGTACGTTGTTTTGAGGTTGAACCACAGAATTGGCACTGTGGAACGTTTTACTCTTTAATCGTGCTGCACCTAATCTTGTGGCGCTTACGTGCAGAGAGGGTGATTTCCTGTACGTATAAGCGCAAGATCTTGGATTGCTTGATAGGGCAGCATTGATAGTTTTATTCTCTGGTTTACCCTGCACCTAAATAATCACATACTCGATGTGGAGTGAGCAACGTTGATGATTGGGAATATTATTTTCTCCAGCAGCTCTACATTTTTAAAATATAACATGGCTCTACACTAAAATATAAGTCGCTGAAACTTAAGTTGATGCCTGGTTGTCGAATGGATGGTTTCATTCTTTTCCCCTCGTTGTCGTCCACGCTCCCGTTTTGGATTATGATCTAAAACAGCCATGCTATCTCATGCTGTTTTAGCGTAGCATTGCAAATGATTTATTTTCATTCTATGGAGGCTGGTTCAACACTGTTGCAAACATCAACAGCGTCGGCTCAGTCCACCTCACCCGATGTGTGCAGTGACATAGGGCCAAAGCTTCAATCTTCAGACACGTCCACCAGATGCATGAATGGCTCTTCGACTTGCTATTCAGATGTACCGCGGTTGATACTGAACGACTGTCGTGTGGGTGTCTTGAGACATACCCCGGTGTGACAGTTCAGAGCTGATTCGAGCCTCAGGACACTCGGTTGTTGTGGAGGTCGTGGTGATCCAACTCTGATCGCTCGCAGCTGTAATAGTGTAGAGGCTGCTAAATGCTGTTGGAGAATGATCTGCTTGAGCACCCTGTACTGACGAATTGTACAGTTAAAATCACAGAGGTCTCTCACAGTCCAATAATAATAATCCTTGCATTTGATATATAACACCTTATGTTGTTGAGGTGTCTCAAAGCATTTCAACAACAACTTGCATTTATTTAACGGCCTTCACACGGGTAATGTCGCAGGAAATATTGTAAAATGTATTTGACTGTACTTTGTGGGTGAAAGGCAGCAGCCAATTTGCGCACAGCAATGTCCCACAAACAGCGACCAATTTAATCTGGGGGATTGTTAGCCAGGACACCAGGAGAAACGCCCTTCTCTTTGAACAGGGCTGTGCTATCTTTCACATGCAACCGAAGAGGCAGATGGAAACTCAGTTTAGCATCTCATCCAAAGGAAATCCAGCGCTGCGCTAGAAAGTCGCTACACAGAAGTGAGCTGCAATTTCGATAGTTGATATGGGTAGAACCTTGTTACTCAGCTCTAGAATTTCATTTGAATTTCATTGAAGGAACAGGAAAATGTTTATGCAGCAATATATATATCCAGCGTGAGTTAGCTTGCAGGCAAGCAGTCATACCTTTGAAATAATTGTAATCGCTGGGGCATACATTCAACTGTTTCCTGTGACTGAAGTCACCACAGCACTTGAGCGGAGACCCAAAATGGTGAGGCTTTGCAGTCGAGGCGAATTAATGTTCAGCAGAAAGTAATAAGTATAGTGCAGTTGCTTGGAGAGGGAGAGAGAGAGGTGGTGGAGAAGTTTGGACACAAAGTGCTGCCTCCGCACCTTCCTTAAACGTCCTCAGCACCTGTCATGCGAGCACAAACTCGGACCGAGACTTGGCTTCGATTGAAACAGCAAAATAGTGACAGTGATTTGAACCTCTCCTTTGATTAATGACACATGAAGATGAGTGCAAGACAGGTGTTTCTTAATTTGGTATTGATTTTGCCACGTGCTCCATTTAGCTGTTGGCTCTTACGAGAGTACATCACTGGTATCATTTACAACCGTACGCGCTACTACACCAAGCAGAAGTAACCTCCTTTTTCACTTGTACCACAGGCTTTGGGGATGGAACACGTTACAAGTTAAAGCCATGCCTCATTAGGAAAGGAATTGCTAGCTTATTCGCTCGCATCCCCTGTGAGGGGAGCTTTAGATGTAATATTTATTTTTATGATGGTCGCTCGTGATGGTTGGAGAATAACAAGAGTCCCACAATGGAAAATAATTGCTCTGAGCAGGAGCTAAACGGAAAAGAGTGCGTCTGTGAAGAATTAGTTAAATGGCGTTATCTCAGCTTGTTCTTCCTTTCCTGTATCTTCCTTTTATCTTTAAAACTGCTGATTAGATCTCGACCCAGGGAGGGAGGTTTCAGGAACACTCTAGCCTAAGGGAGCCGATGTGCGCCGTAAAGTTAATCACTTCTGTTGAAGGCTTTTTAACCTGTTTAGTAGGACCTGTAACTTCTCGCAGATGAAGGAGTTATTGTTCATACTTTGATAATTGACGGAAAGACTTGCTCCAAGTTACGTTGGCTCTCGACTCACTTCTGGAGAGTACCTTGGGTTACTCTTCCCTTTCCTCTCGGGGAATCCTCCTCAGGAGGAGACGTCACTGGAAAATCATGGTCGGCACTTAGGAGTTTAGGCAGCCACAGGGAGAGTCTGAACTCCTCTCACCACCACAACAACAAATTACACTTATTGTGCGTCTTTCACGGCGGGAGGACATCCCAAGGTGCCGGCCAGTCGAGGGTTTGCACTGGACCTGGGGTTTGGGATCAGGAGGATTTGGAGGGAGGGAGGATGGGGTTAGGAGGGTGACCAAAGGTGCGGTCGAAGAAGAGGGCCTTGAAGGAGCGAGGTGAAGGGACTGTGGGATTCAGTTCCAAAGGATGAGGGCAGAAATGCTGTCGTGACACATGCTAAACATATTCACGTATTAAAATCGGAATCTTTTATTCAAATTTGACTACTCCCAGAGCTGTTTTCTGAGCGAGGTTATCTTACATAAACAACTCTCCTTTGGTCTCTGTACTTGTTATTCAGATCTAAACGCTTTGCCTCGGGGATCTCTGCCATTCGGAGTTGCCTCTCTTGCTCTTCCCTCCTTTAAATAATAAAGAAAATCTGCAAGGGAGCTGATTTAACCCTGACCTCTCGTTAGCAGCAGCAATAGCTGGTATGCAGCTCAGAATGCTTTATCGAGCAGCATAGGCTCAACAGGAGCGATGTACGCCGGCTGCTGCAGCCAAGAGCGGAAGATAAATGAAACGCCTTTTTGATGCCTCGAGGGCTGGACCCACTGTATCATGAAGTGGGGCTTCAACCTGCCTCTGGAGACAGTGAAATGAATGGTGCCCTTTGCTGCCTCCCGTCTCCCAGGTTTTTATGGCCCTAGTCAGCCTGAGCTGTCAAGCAGCAGCGGCCAACAGCGTGGCTTATTATTACAAGCTTTCCTCACAGCAGGAAGGTGAGCAGCCAGTACAGAAAGCCATGTGGGTGTGAGCGTACACAGCCTCTGCGTTGCCTGTGGTGCTGGAAGTTCTGCTCCGCAGTCTCAACAGGGCACCAGCTACCTCCAGGCCAACAATGTTTTTACTACTCGAATTGCCTGGAAAATAAATGTAACCCCATGTCAGGGGTCCACGGTGAGATTTCAGTTGCTCTGCAAGGCCATGGGAGCGTTCAGATCGCATTTCTGCATTGTTTTGGCATCCGCCAATGGGCCCTTTATAAACAGTTTAGCTTGATAACCGGAACGGCAGCTTGTTTTCAGAAAAATATTGCCTCTGTTCACGCCTGTGGGATGTTGATAATCTGGCATCTGAAACCACTACCAAACACTGGCCACAACCAGATTCTCTTCGCACAACAGTTATGGGAATAGACACGTTTGAATAATAGATTAACGTTTTTAAAAAGTGAATGTGTTTAGGAGGTTTTGGTGAGTTTGGCTCAATGCCTTCTAAGTCTCAACATGCATTTTGCCCACAAAATATACAGTCACTTCACTTTACAGTATATTCTGTGAAGCGCTTTGGGACAATAACAGCAACAAAATGACGTCGGGAGGACCCGAGCTGGGGGGCGGGTTTGGGGAGGGTGGAGGGCGGGGGGGTAAGCAGAGTGATTGAAAGCACAATCCAAAAGGAGGGTCTTGAGGTGGGTCTTGAAGGAGGCAAAGGAGGGGACGAGGCAGAGGGGCGGGATTGAGTTCCAGAGGGTAGGGACAGAGTGGCAGAAGGCCCACCCACCAATGGTGGGGCGGGCGAGGCGGGGGACCTGTAGCAGCCTGGAGCCCGCTGAGCAGAGAGAGCGGACAGGTTGGTATGGGGTTAGGAGGTCGCAGAGGTATGGGGGAGCAAGAACATGGAGGGCTTTGAAGGTGAGGACCAGGATCTTGAACTGTATCCTCTGTGTGATGGGAAGCCGGTGGAGTCGGGCGAGGATAGGGGTGATAGGATCACGGAGCCTGGTGTGGGTGAGGACACGGGCTGCAGAGTTCTGGATGATCCGCAGCCTATGGAGTTATCTCGAAGAATTGATAATAGCTATATCAAATGCAAGGATAATGATTATTATCATTGCTTGTCAGTGACAGCTGAGCTCAGTTGGAAGCACTCTCATTGCATCAGAAGGTTATGGGCTCAAGCCCAGATCAGTCTGGACTTAGCCACCTCACCCTTTCCCATCAGAAATAGTAATGTATCTGCTGACCAGATACCCAATAACCAAGGAAGTAAAGGCACATACAACGATCAAAAAAGACTTGCACACCCTGCTTTTCGTCTTACCATTCGACCAACAAATGCACAAAAACATCATATCTATTACTCAATTCTTTTTTACTAATCAAAAACCATATCTGGATTCCCAATTCGCCACATGTGGCGAGTGGCTAACACATGGGACCCGGACGCT